GTTGTGTGTGTGTGTGTGTGTATATGTGTGTGTGTGTGTGTGTGTGTGTGTGTGTGTGTGTGTGTGTGTGTGTGTAAATAATGTCTTGTGTTAATTAAATTTTTAATTTTTTTAATTAAAACTATTCAGATCAGATCCGTTTTTTATTTTTTATTATTTTGAACCTATATCAAATTTAAAATCAAGAATGTGTGCCAGCATAATCAAATCAGTTTCAAACTAAAAATAGCATCTCATCTTGTGGTGTATTACAAAAGAATTTCGTGATGCGCGACTGACACAGTCCTGAAAATCACAAATTTGGAGAAACATAGAAACAAAGCTCTAAAATTTTTAGATTTGTGTTTTGTTTTCTTCTAAGAAAATACAGTCACCGTACATATACATATGTACACATCTATGATCATTGATTTTACTCACGAATGGATGCCATCGTTTTACCGAGTTACCGCGATGCTTCCCTTTACCTCGCCGCTCCGTTTTCTTGCCGGTCGATGCTTCGTGACTCCCGTGAAGTCGATGCTCGTTGACCTAGACACGAATCCGTCGAGATACTTTACCGGGATGCTGCTTTCCCGACGATTATCGCACGCGATACATCCCAACACGCGACAAATGCGCGACACATCGCACTTACATCTTGCACGACGCTGATCGACGATTAACTGACGCGGACTCGCGATTCGAGTTATGCGGGACAACTTCACGTCGATTACGCGGCGTCATTTCGACGATGCATCCTGCGCTCCTGCACTTTCTGCACTTGACTGTCTCTACCGACCGGCTTAGCTTGCGAATTATATGTACCCTGATTGTTCTATTGTCTCGTTCGATCCTTACGTCAGTTCGATATTGACATTTGAACATTGCGATGTGGAAAATTGTAGGCTTTCTTCTTGGAAAACCGCGGATTTATAATGCACCTCAATTAACCTATTCTCTACGTGCAGCATTCAGAAAATTAAGTTTTATCTTTTTTAGCGAAATGAAAATGAGATAGGCATTCTTAAATAGATACAGATATTCTTAAGGAAAGAGAGAATAGAATAGATATACACGCGAGAAAAGTGAAATAAATAAAATGACAAAATATTTTAATCCGCGAATTGAGAATTAGTTTAATTACGTCGGATGTATATCTCACTTCGAAAATTCCGTTCGCTATCGATGTCGGAATACGGAAAGTGCGGAACAGCGTATCTCAATGGGTAATCCTAACATACGTCGATTCACATCACGAAAACTCAAGAGGCAAAATAAACACGTGACGTGTGTCAAAGGAACCCAGTGCGTAATCACAGTCGTCTGTCATCCAAATCACAACACTCCCGACACTCGAATTGCGATATCTTTTCTTTTTGTAAGAAAACGGCGTAATTCCAGTTGTGCCATCCTACTGGTACGAACTATTACGTGGTGGCTATGGTAATGCTATGGCGAGACTGCGTCAAAACAATACGCATGGCGCATTGTTTTTGACTGGTCGATTTATTCTAAGGCAAATTATTTATCGCGCGATTATCATATATTTGAAAATTGATATTCGAAAAATTTAATATTAACAATAAATCAATGTTTTTTCTATACTTTTTCATGTCCAGATCAAATTATTATTATTATTATTATTATTATTATTATTATTATCTAATTATTATTATTAATTTGTAATTGTGTAATGTGTAATGTGTAAATTTGTATTGTGCATATGTTTTTTTTTATTTTCTCGTCTTTTAAATATTTTAAAATTATTTAAGATGTATTACACGCACGAAATAATTTCTACTATTTGTTAAATTATAGTCTGCTAAATCTCGATAGGGAAAGCATTATACATCCTTATATGTACAATAGATAGAGGTACATTTATATATAGTAGATATATTTACCGAAGTATATTTATATATTCATGGTTATTTTTAACTTAAATATTTTTGTACTAATCTATTTTAGCACACATTTTAAGACCATTTATTATCTCGGATTAAAATAAAAGATTTTCGTGACTCACCGATACGATGCGCAGCAGCGGAATTGTAGATTTCGTTGCAACTACGTTGATCTGTAATATATAAATGAAAGAATTATAACAATTGCAGAAATAAATAGCGTTTTTAAAAAATTATTATCGCGTGCATCGAATCTTTTATTTATCTTTTAAAAGTAGACACAATAAAATTATTATATATTTACGAAAGAAATCTTTTTTAAATTTTTATTTAAATTGTTCGAATGAATGATTTTAATAAAAGGGAACAAACGATTGAGTTTGCAAAAAAATAACGTATAAATATTAAATAACTTACCCTAGGATTGCTCCGCCATTGCCCGATGCCTCCCGAGGCCTTCTCCTCCTCTTAGAATAATCGCACTCACACTCAACACAATATCCGCGAAAATACGAGTTAATTACATTCGTGCGCGCATTAATTGGCAGAATTCGACATTAATTGTAATGCAACGCTCATTTACGCAGAATATTATTAACAAACGCATCGCTTTCCGTTAGTTGACTCATACGATCGAGCGATTTGCGCGTTGCGGCAATCCGGAAACTGTGAATGAACAAAGAAAATCTGTAATGAATCGCGAC